TCATCCTCATCCTCATCCTCATCCTCATCCTCATCCTCATCCTCATCCTCATCCTCATCATCATCATCATCATCATCATCATCATCATCATCATCATCATCTCAATCAGTCAAACCCATTATCTCTTAATATTCCTCACTGGGTGAGGTTGAATCATCGCCCAGGTGGGCCCCGCTGGCCGCGCTGGCCGCGCTGGGCCTGGCTCGAAAGCTGGACCGGGAGCCGTGAGCTGTGAGACGTTCGGTCCAGGTGGGTGCACCACATGGGATCTGGAAGATGGTGCACCACATGGGATAGCATAAATGCCAATCTTCACCTCTGACACCACCCCCAATGTGGGTAAAGATGGCAGTCCCATAGGGTATTTGATGGTATTTGGGTATAGTGGAACTTGAGCTCAGTTTCGTACATGAGGAGTTCAGGTTGCGAGAATCCGTTTGAAGAGCAACTTGGTTTGCAGACCAGCTTGTTTGTGTGTGGTGGGGGGGGCGTACTTTTCTTCTGGCACCCTTTTGCCCATACAAATAAGAAATCATATGGTCACATTTGCCACATGCAGTGGAGGAGCTGCTTCTCGGCTGCTTCATGGCCTCTGTCAGCCTGAGTATTTTGACATTGCATTTGCAGAATGGGGATGCTAGCATATGCCAGTGATCTTCAGCTCGAGTGCCGTGCTGCACGCCAGCCAACCCCTCACCAGCCCATGCAGCTAAACAACCTTCGTGCGACCCCCTGACGCCGTTCCCATCCGCTTCATCTCCCGGCTCCGTCGGCGGACGCTTCTGATTCCGCTCAACGTGTTTGAGCGACTTTCGCTCCGTTTGGCCGACGACGTTTCAGCTTGGGCGGCTGACCTTTTGGTTTATATTCTCATTGAATGGGGTGCCCATTGAATGGGGTGCCTCTTTAAGGTATATAAGGTGCCCCCCCCATCTCATTGATTTGGATGCAATATTTAGTATTGATTGCCTCTACTGACCTGCCAGTGTCGAACCTTCAGGTGACTGGAAAGTGAGCACTGTTCAGGTACACAACCCGGGCCAGTGGTAGTTGGGGGACCTAGCTGCTAGACAAGTGACCTGCCATGACCTACCAAAGATCCAAGACTGGTGTGCGAGACAGGAGACACGTGGAGATCATGTACACTGTTGCTGAATACCCCCCCACCAGAATGGTTTTAACGTCTCCAGAGTGGTGGGCTTTATTCATCAACAGCCCACCTTCAATCTTCCAAACAGACTGGTGACTGGTGAATAGCTTCAAAAGACCGCCAGGAGGGCTCCAAGAGTGAATGCCTTTCGCACTCGACATCCACCGAAATCCTTTTTGTGTGTTGGTATTGGGGACGATTATATTAATTAATATATCATGATAGATTATGATAGATCCATAATTTCCTGGAACCTCAGTGTGAGCCCTATATTGGAAGATCATTTCGTCCAAAACATGGCCTTTCCCGTCCAAACAGGGTTCTTGGCTGAGTTACAGCGACGGCTATTCAAAGTAGCAGAAAAGCACACTAGGGAGAGGGGAAGCTCGCCGTTTGTTCACATAGGCATGTGTTGCACCGTCTCCGCCTGGCAGAGAGGACTACCATGAGTCGCCTCTTGCGAAGGCTGGGCACCTGGCGACGCCGTTCGCTCCGTTCGCTTGCGAAGGGGGCGGGTCAGATCTGGCAGGTCGTCCACTTGTTGGAAGGGATGGAGGCCGATTTGTCGAAGGAGGCCGCCGAAGACGAGGCGACCAACGAAGAGATGAAGCGCCTCTCGATACCAAAAGTTCGGCCTTCATCCGGGTGAGTGGGAAGCTATGTGCCTTAGGGCTCCAACCATATCCTCAGAAGGTGGTGGACCCCCCCCAAAGAACCCACCCCCTGTCCCTTCTCAGGAAGTGGTCAAGAAGCCCCCAGGGATAGTGCAGGTCTCCAGCGTTTAATTGAAGGATATTGAAGGTCGGTCGTGCCAACGACCGGAGTTTTAACGAAGGAGCTGGCTTGCGGATGGGATTCCCGCCGGTCTGCGAGCAGGAGGGCTTCAATTCGGTACATGGTAGCTTAAGGTATGTCAGATGATCCCAGATTTGGAATGTTCCCGCAACATCCCAGAACCTCAAGCTGCAGCCGTGGGACTTCTTGGAAGTTTTGACTTCTTGAGTTATATATTGGGTTTTGCTGGTTGAAGATGCTGCCGTAACTTCAGGTGTGCTTCCCTCCGCGCCAATACACAACTATTTAAATTATTTTAAATTTAGACAAGCAACCTCATATGACTCATATGTCAAGAACTTCAGTGGTTGCTGGCTGAGGTTGGTGCAAGACCTCCGAGGAGAATCAGACGAGGCGTAGTTTTGTTTTGCTTGACAATCCCAGATATCCCAGACACGCCACGTGTGGCATATATGCCTACACTCATCCCGGCTCAACCACCCAAACGTAGGCAAATATGGCACGCATGCAGTGTTTGGGAATGGTGTAATGGTGCAAGTAGGCTCAGTAGACCTTGGTGGAGAGTGTGCTTCGTCTCTTTGCCTGGAACGTTTGACGGTAGACTATTCAAGTCTTCAACCGTTGGGTGCAGAATGTAAGTTTCTGGGTGGAAGTGAAGAAGCACAGACCACCCATTTCAGCGCGGGGTCCTGAATTTCTGGGCCGTCCGAAGCTGGTGGAGTTTGCTGCCCAACTATGCATACCACACACCTGCCAGATATGATATCAGATGTGATCAGACTCTTCATGTCTCAATGACCATTTGTTGATCGTTTCCATGACTACCATGGATCGTTTCTGCTGGGCAACCCTCACCCTCACCGTCGACGGCCAACCTCACCCGCCAACCGTGCCTTTCAGCCTCATCACGGACTCCACGAGCCTCATCGAGACACAAACCGTGGTCGTGAAGGAAAGCACTGCCATGGTCTCTTGGTCGGCAGCCGTTGGGATTGGACCGACCGGGCATCAGGCGGTCTGGGCATTCGACCGGGGCGTGCGGATCGATCCTGCAGCGCTGGCGCAATCAGTGGGAATCACATATAGAATCACTGGGAATTGGATTTGTTCAGTGAGTGTGATGTTGTGTGTTTGTTCTTTCCCCTTCTGTCGGGTGTCATCGCCTCACGCCAGCACTACTGCCAGCACGTGCCAGCACTTGCAACCCCCTCCATCATGAATCCCAATGGAATACTTCCTCTCTTGAAGAACCGCCCTGGGCTCGCTCTCAACCATTTGAGTTCCCAGAGTCCCCGAAAACCGGCGCCCGGAACCTGCGCTGAAACGGGTGGTCGCTCGCTCTGACGCCGAGGGCGACCGTCTCACCTGGGAACTGCGGAACTTGGCGAAGGAGATCGCCGCTCATGAGGCAAAGGTGTAAGGCACCTTGCTACTAGTAGCTTCTTGTTACTAATAGCACGAATGCTACTAGCAGTAATGCCAGGAGCCCCGTTCGTAGCGTCCTTGCTCCTAGTAGTAAGGCCAGGAGCCCCGAACGTAGCTTCTTTGTTCCTAGTAGCTTCTTGTTACTACATTTCGTGGAGACGGTTGGAGTGTTGCACCGTTCCGTGGGATTGGGCGTTGTGAAGTCGTGGTAGAACGTATTCCAAGGGTTATGCGAGTTCATGGTATATATGTGTTTCTGGAATGTTTTCGACGGAATACATCTTCGTCTGGGAGGGTTGCGGGGCTGACGGTTTCCATTTTTACGGAATATCTTTTGATATGATGATTGCTTAAGAAGATCTGTTCAGTTTTGTTAACATATATGTTTTTTAAACAAAACATCTTGGACATGATAGTTTGTGGCACACAAATGATGCTTTGGAGGTATGTAAGCACCACGTTACCACATTGTTGTGTAGAAAATCATGGACATTTGCCCAGAAGTGCAGTGTGTGACAGGCCAAAGCAGATCAAAAGAGCCTAAAAATGCCAAAGTTGGGTGAAGTCGTGAGAGCGATGGACTGGTTTTTGCTGACGGTCGAGTGTTACACGTGAAACTCGTGTCCAGCTCGCTGGGGGTGCTTTTGGGGTTTCAAGAGAGGGCTTCGGTTCATTCCATCGGCAGATTGGGTACACAGTGGATGATTGGAGGGGTGGTCCGATTCAGAAATGGAGCCCTTAGGCATTAGAGAACCACCTGGAATCACCATCCGCCATCCTGTTGGAACCCAAGATGATTCAGGAATCCGATTTTATGGCCCAGGGGTTCTGACCGCGACCTTTCTTCCCATGATTCCACAGCGCGAAACAGCGCCCCATGTAGGCCACCTTGGAGAAGGCGGACGTCTTGCGGCGCGACCAGCGGGAGAAGTTCGCGGAGGATTCCAAGCGCCTCGGAAGAGACAGATCATTCCAGGCTGGAGGAAGCGATTGGGTGAAAGGATATGTGATATGTGGACGATTGTGAACGGAATGAATGAATGTGTTGAGCAGTGGTCAAAGCAGTGGCTTCAAAACAACACAAGCAGTGTCAAATACGTATGACGGGGTTATATAGGTATAGAATGATATAGAAGATATCGAAATCTAGTATGATATAGTCGTACTTTATTAAGATCAATACGCAGTCTTTCATGCAAGGCAGCTTCTAGTATCACCACCCCTTTAGGCAATCAAAAAGTCTCCCCAATCCTCGGGGTGGTGATGTTCGTTCGTCACGGGCCTTTCGAATGCGACCGAAGAGCTGCGGCCTCTCAAGGTCGCTCAAGGAGAACATCGACGCAGCCGGGGGACTCAGGTGCTCGATGCCAATGCATGCCAATGCCAGGCGGAGTGAGAAACAGAAAATGCGCCAGGCTTCATACCCGGCAAAGAAACCACCCCTCCCAGAGGTGGCAAAAGATCTCATGTTTTTTTGGTGGTCGACACGGAGGAGGCCATACCATGGAACTTCACATGAAGAACACTTTTGGCCTGTCTTGACCCGAATATCCAAATCTACATGGGGGTACCCCACATGCTATATCATTTGGACTCTCAGATTGGGACCTTCGCCACATGGGAGGGGGACGTGTCCTTTAAAGGTCAACACCCCTTCGTTGCTTCCATATATGATTCCGTGTTGGTTCAAAGTGTCCAGCATGGCAGTCAAAACCAGTGACTGACATGTCAGCATGTAGACCCTGACAATCTGCGCCCTCTTCCTTGAGGAGAATGACAGTTCGGAGACCTGCCTGCCTGCATACTCTTACACCCGACTTGCCCCGCCCCATCTCAGACGAGGCGCTCGGCCCTCCCCAGATCGGAACCGTCCACCGGCGGACCAACGAAGAACGGACGATGGATCCCCGCAGCTCCGGCAGTCCGGGGACACACTGCTGAGCCACCACGGCTGCTTCCAAGGAGCCTGGCTGCACCCCACATGACTTGTGGGTCATTGGCACCGGAACCCAGACCGAAGTGCTATCATGTTTGATCGGCCCAGGTGGCCCAAGCCTTGGCAGCGGTCAACGGAAGCTCGTTCCTGCAATCTCCGGAGTCTCCTGCCGTGACGAGGAGCCGTGACCGAGCGCGAGCGATGACGGTGCGGATGACGGTGCGGATGACGGTGCGATGCGATGCACAACTCCCTGCAAGCGACGTGTTGGGTTTTGGAAGTGCACACATTCCGTATAGAATAGAAGGTGGTGTATGCTTGAGGCAAGAATCTTGGGGCTGGTGTGGAAGCACTCAGAGCAACTGAGATACAAGCAAGCGAAGAGGTTCTACAGTTGTCCATCTTGGGGGAACTCTCCAACCATCAATTCAAACCACTCATGCCATCGATGCCGAAGACCGCCGCCGCCTGACCGCTTCCCTCGCCATCGGTCGCGCGCACGCATGCGCCGGTCGCGCACGCCGAAGCCAGGCTCAAAGAGGTGGTCATGAAGCACTACGACATGATCAAGTTGGGGGGGCCCGGAAGTGGAGGTTTGACATGTCAATGACATGGGGAGAACGAGGTTTTATTATCTCTGCGACGGTAGGAGCAGAAAGATGCAGACCGGTCGCGAGGGGCTGGCGACTGTTTTAGAGCAGAAGTCATTAGAAACAAGTGCATCGCTACTAGTAACAAGTGCCTTACTAGTAGTAACAAGAAGCTATTAAATTAGATTAATTCTAACAGCTTTTTGTTACTACTAGTAAGGCACTTGTTACTACTAGCGTGGCACTTGTTACTAGTAGCTATATATAGAACTCGCATGCGACTGTCGGGGGGCAAGAAGACGATATGTTCGACTGGAGAATTGGAGGGGTCGGACCTGAATCCTCTGGAGGGGTCTGGGGTATTCTCACCAATCCCTAGGTGAAGGACCGGTCGGGCGTCGTTCACGGAGCATTTGGCTTGGACCTTAGTCCTTGGTCCTTGATGAAGCACCTCCAGTGACTCCGGTTCTGAGGGGCTAGTCTTTAGAGCTCCAGCGCCTCAACGGTCCATGGGGCCAACGTTCTGAGGACCAAGAGTTCTCGAGCAGACCGGATGCTCTTGGATGACTTCTTGAAGGAGTGTGGGTGATTTCAGTGTGCCGAGTTCGAGCAGGGTGATTCCGCTCCGTGAACCTGGAAGAGCCTGGAAGAGCCTGATCTTGCTCGTCCTAGATGATGTTCATATCTTCATCCCCTTCTGGTGATTTGGCTGGTGTTCATGTAGCTTTTCCAGGTTCCTTAGCTGAGCAAATTGAAGAGTGGCCACGGGAGCCACGTGCTTTCTGGACGGGCGGGCTGCGCCTCGTTACCGGCTATGCCGGGCTCGACAGCGACAGAGGAACGCTGAGCACGAGCACGACCGTGGTTGGGGGGAGGATCTGTCGGTGTGGGGGCTGGGGGGCTGAAGAAACTCCATTGGAGGATCCTCGGATCGTCTTTAGTCGATTGAATTGCCAGGAGATGTCTTAGGTTTGTAATTGCACGGATTTCGAAGTCAGAATTATATCCTAGAATCCATTAGAATCCTATTGGCTGAGATGAGTGCTGATATGCTATGCATAGCTTAATTGGACTGAAATATTATACTAACTCAGAGACGAAGAGGATCCACTGGGTCCAGTTGCAGGACCCAGGTCACTTCACCAAAGGCCTCGGCTTTCTGCAGAAGGCTCAGGCTCGGCTCGGGCCCGGGAACGCGAGGTGCGCAGGTGCACGAGGTGCAGCTGAGCAGGTCTTCCTGAGGTGTTTTTTCTCATTTCAACCCTTGCCTGTCGAGCAGATTTGGAGATCCTGCAGGTCGAAGAGTGCCTCGCCTGAAGACCCCTATGGAGACTTCTTCATTGTCTTTATGTTTTTCTTCTTCAGGAAGCCTTGGTTTCAACAACACCTCTAATATTATGTTTGTTCTTTTCTTGTTCCCCTATGATCCCCTATGCTTACGCCAGTTCCACGTGGTCACGCTGCTAGGTGGGAGGTCCCGCAGAGACTGTGGCAGGCATGCTGCAGGCGCTCGGCGCTCTCCGATTGGTCGACTGCCCAAGGGGAACCCCACAACTTCAGGGTGTCGATCGATCGAATTCCCTTCAAGTCATGTTCTTGAGGGTGATTTGGGTCCGGAATGCTTAAATAAATGCAATGTACTCCCACAAAAGACGCGCTTCAAAACGAGGAATGTGAAAGTGCACACTTGTGTTTGACCAGGGCCTATGACACTGTAGCAGTAACAGCTTGAGTTGCTCCAAACCCTAGTTGTCCTTGTGCATATTCGAGGAAGTTCTGTTATCCTACGGGCTCTCCTGTGGAGCAGGGAACCTGCAACCCACCACAGAATTCAGACAGTATCCGCACAATAGTATCACAGAAGTATGATGCCGCAGATCGATTCTTTTATGGTGTACCCATTGTGGACAGCAGGGGGGTTTCAAATTTCCACTCCAACCACATCAGTCCGGTATTCTGTTAATATTCTTCCACATGTCTCAAGGCAATGGTGGATGACTTCCAGATCGATCTCAAGGAGCCCTCCAGCTTCCGCGGAACCGCGGACGCGCGTCTCGCTGCGTCGCTCCCTCCCCGCTCCCTCTCGGCGGCGGAAGGACGCCAGCCCCGCTGTGAAGACTACATTGAAGCGATGCACTTGTTCCGTTCGTAGCGAACATTGTTCCTACTAGTAAGGCACCTGTTACTACTAGCGTGGCACTTGTTTCTAGAGCGCCAAAGCGCCATGTTTCGGCGCAACGCTGAGAGGGCCGTTTGGGCGGCCGGGGGGGGGGGGGGGGGGGAGGGGGCAGGCCTTGACCTCGATCGGGGGGTGGGTTTCAGAGCTCGACTTGGGCCATTTTTGTTGCATACATGGAAGGTTTGGGTGATGGACCATGTCGTATCACTGTCATTGGCCTGTTCAGTGTCCCAAACGCCACGGACCTCGGTTTCTTTGGACAGAGAAGGTCGTCAGCCGGTGTGTTTTCAGAGCACGCTGCGGCCGTACGAGCTACACCATGGCAGCCAGGCCGAGCCAGGCGAAAGTTCAGGGCTGTTCTCCACCCAGAGGTGATCGAAATACACTCCTGACGAACACATCACATGGAAGTGGAACATGGTCAGACGACTTGCCTTTACAAACAGGGGGGTTTTCCACTTCCCATGGAACGTGAGTCGGAGCGTCGCCATCTCCCGTGGGTGGTCAAGTCCGGAAGTTCCGGCAACGGCCCCAGGTTAGGCAGTGCGATCGTGATAGTGAACATTGCATGGTACATCTTCATCCAACGGTCCAAGTATTTTGGTGGGGTTGCCTTTGTCACCTTCATTCTCCAGGTCAAGGACCTGCGGGCAGCGGGATCGCCCGACAGCGTTGACGAGCGACCACATGGGCCGTTAACCCTGACGCTTCCATAGCTTCGCCAAGTGCTGCTGTTTGGAGCCAAAAGTGACCCTTTACAGGTCCAAGATGGTCTATGCGATCTCAAACCAGGTCCGTGCTCCGTGGTCCTTGACGCTCGGACCGGTGGAGGAGGAGCAGGATGAAGATGGCAAGCTGGAGAAGAGCTACCAGGCGGCGTGTGACCCGCACTCCGCTTGGAACCAGGTGACGGGAGCATCCGCACCCAAACGTTCCTGCTGGTGTGCCCAAACGCCAAGCAACGTTTGGGGCTGGCATGGGCCGGCATTCCAGATCATTCATTGCACCAGGAAAGAGAGTGAACTTTTCCTAGGGTTTTGAAGGAGGGAGTCTGAACAGCGCTCGATGTGAAAAACGCTCTAAAGAGCCCGATTTTGGGGCTTGTGATCAAGAGAAGGGTGGGAGTGTGATGGTTTTCTGCCGGGTTTGGACGTCCCTCACAGGAATTAAGCATCTTGCCAGTCTGGACGCACATTCAGCAACTTGGGTTTCTTGATGCGTTCTTGTCCCAGCTCCAAACAGAAATAGATAATAATTGTGTATAAATAAGTAATAGACTGACTGATTCAGTGTCCCCGACTCCGTGGTACTTTCGGATAAATTAATATAAACTTGTGAAGGGTCATGGAAGTGGCAAGGGCACATCCCTACGCATAGGGCCTGTCGTTTTACCATTTATTACCTGTCACAGTTGTATATAACTAGTTTTGAACAAGCCCTGCAACTGAACCATCATCATCCACGGTTACTGGTAATAGGATATCGGATAGACCCAACCTACACATATGATTCTCCCTTGAACACTTTTGTGACTTGGATGCTCGCTGTTGGCCATGTTCTCCGAACGCGCGCTTCTGCGAAAGGCCTTGGTGACGGCGAAAAGCCAGGAGGCGCGTTGTCCACTGGGCGATCGGCTGGTGGGTTCAATGATCCAACAGGGCCAGGGTGTGAAACATAGCATAAAAATGACCCTCTTTCGCGACCCGTCTGGGACTGCCATAGGACTGCCGCCCCATTGACCTGATAGGCATATATGGCAGTCCCATGGAGCGTTGGGTTATTTCTTGGCAGCAAGATCTTAGACCGGTTTTGAGTATACCTGGTTTGACTGGGAGATCTTTTTGGGTCGCGGTAGATGCGAGAGGCCCCCCCCAACCAGATGGCGAGGTCCGGTTTTACACTGAACTGTAAGGACTGTAAGGGAAGTGGGGGGCCTTCACCGTTTTTTGGGGGTGACCTGGGTTGCTTGGCTTAAAATGCCGGTTGGCTCCTGGTGGGGGAGAAGATGGTGATGCTGTTCACTTCACCTAAGATGTCCGACGGTACGTCAGTGATGTCAGGCACAGGTCCATGATGGTGAGGGGTCAGTGAGGGGTGTATCCCCTGCCTCAACTCCATGGTAGATGTGCCCCCGGCCCCGAACAAGGATCTCCTAATTTGCGTGAACTCCACGCGGACGAGTTCCATCAGTGTAGCCTCCAGACCGATGCCACCATGCGCCACCGAGCTGCGTCTCGCCAGGTGTCGGCCGGTCAAGAGCAAGTCACACTCAAGGAGGGCCTCCTGATGGTGGGTGGAGCGAGTGTGCATGCACCAGTTCAGTCGCGCTGCGCGAGTGTGCATTGAAATGAGACGTCCCCCTACCCGACGGGTGGTTTGGGTCCATTTCCCTTCATGGTTACCCTCTGACTCACTAACATGGAAGTGGAAAATGGTCACTTGGAAGACTACTTTCCTGTACCAACAGGGGGTTTTCCACTTCCATGTTAGTGAGTCAGAGTGTATTTGGTGTTTCAGACCCGTTAGGGCAATGAGAATCGTCACTACAGCATGACGATCGACGGTGAGCAGAGGGCGATCCGGATGGGACCTCCGGTTCGGTCAGGGGAAGCGAATTCATTGCCACGACCCAGCAAAGATAGCAAAGCAGGTTCTTAAGAAGTCTTCTTCCAGACCATCCATGTGTAGAATAGTTATATATATATATTATACTTACAAGTCCACTGGCATTAGGGTCATAACTAGCGTAAAATGATGGTAAATGCATGCAACTATTCCATCGATGGATGGTCTGGGTCTGTTTTTTTTTTTCACCTCTGGTTTTGTCACCTCTCGCGAGGAGCAGCAGAAAGCCGATGCCAAGCAAAGGGTGCGGGCAGTTACACACACCGCGTGTTTGGAGCGGTGGATGGATGGGCTTTCGGGGCGAGGACTGCACGTCGCGAGTCGACAACTTTGGACGCCCGGCGAGCCGTATTTGGCCCCCGGAGGCACCGCGAGTCCACATGTTGGTTTTGGTCCATGTCACCCTAGCTGGGAGGGTCAAGACCCTAGCGAACTGAGGGTCCTTCCAAGAGCCTTTGGGCTTTTACGACCCCCCCATTGCTTGGGAAGGTCAGGTCCTCATTTCATAGAGAAAACTGTTTGTGCATGATGTCGCCGCTGCATTTCACCAATTTTCCTTGAGATCAAAGATAGGTCAGGTATAGACTCAAATTTGGATTTGAGTGTTTTAGTCCGGTGGTTCAGTTGAGGGTCTCTATGGGCTGCTGGACCCCCCACCCAAATTGACAAGATGATCATGTTAATACCACAGACGGACGTGTTTGTTTGGTGCACCTAGCTTACGGGGGGCACAACCCGTATATCTGGATCCGGCACTGATGTAAACCCCACAGCTCTGAAGCGGCTTTACTTTCACGATTCACCGTATTGCTTCCCTTTTCAACATTGCTTTGCTAAAGACAAGGCAGCTGCTTGACATGAAGCGCATTTGTTACAGGGGTGTTCATAGGAATGTTAGCCATGCCATGCTACATGTTTAGAAGGCCCAAAGATGCCCAACGCACATCAAGACCATTCAGGACCCACATTTGCGCGCCGGACACCAACACCCAGGAACCCTGACTGGCCCCAACGCGCCAAAAGCATCCAAAAGCGGGGTGGATCGGGCAAATGGACGCTTTTTATAGGATGCAGTCTTTAGGGCGTCCTTTGAGTGGAGACTTGCAGAGACTTGCAGGTCATCACTGGTAAGGAGGACATCAGCGGTGCGACCACCGCGAAGGTGGGTGACGGGCAGAGACAAAAGGTGTAGGGAGGCATGCAGAATCATGCAAAGGATCCATTGAAGCCACCAGGATGTTATATATGACGAGTGTTTGTCGTATGCTCTAGGCGCTTCCGGCGCTTCCGGCGCTTCCTCCCCCCCGCCCTGGAGGGGAGATCGGGTTCCGCCGCTGGGTTCAAACTGGCCCCTATAGTCATTCATGGACCCTGGGATACTAATACAGGGCTACTATTCACTTGA